CGTTTAAACTGCAACAAAGCGTATCTCAGTTTTTGCAGTTTTTCAGGAGACACAAAAAACACGTGTTTCATGATTTAAACCAACTAAATATAAGTTAAAACATGTTTATTTAATGTTATTTTCATTAAAAAAGTGTTTAAAACACTAAAATTCAAAGTTTATTGAATATTCAGTATTTTTCATGAGATACGCTTTGTTTGACACTGATGAATATGAGATAGGTCTTTTTACTTCACTGGTAATAAACCATAATATTTTAACATACTTTAATAATAATTATTATTGTATGACATAGTTGGGATGTAATAAATTATTATGTTATTATCTTAATTAATTTTTATTTTGACTGTTATCAGGAGTAAAAAATAAAATGCATAATGATCATATAAAAACTAATTTTAACAGGATAATATAACTAGACCAAATAAAATATTAAAAATCACTTTGTAGTTCCTTTTTATTTTGTTCTTTCAACTTAGTAGGTATAAAATCAAAAAACAACATTAACAACAGTAAATTAAGTTATGACACAAACGTATTAATATTTTTTTAAAGTATAGTTACCAAAACAGAATAATTGCTTACTATAGGTATAGAAAGATAAAATAGTTTAATCTAAATAAAATATAAGTCACACCTTGTTATAACATAAACAAAAAAAAATAATACATAATATTATGTTATTATAAGTATAAAAAAACATAATAATATTAATAGGAATATAACAAGTAAATTGCAATTACAATATTATAATTTTAGTAAGTCTTATAAAAATGAGTCATTGAGATCACTTGAAAACAATCAAAATAATATAATATCCAAAATATTATTTGTTTTTTTTTTAGTTGTCTCTTTCAACTTCTTAATAGTATAAAATCAAATAACAATTAACAACTTACTGTAAATACAAGGTATTTACCTACTATTTAAAACAGTATAGTTTCCATAACAGATTAGGTAAATATAATATAAGAAAAACAGAAAAATAAAATACAGCACTGGTTATAACTAACAAAATAAAATATTACCAATTTTTAAATATAAAACAAAAAACAATTAACAACATTAAAGTATAAAATGATATCAAAAACTTATTAACTATTTAAAATTTTTTCTTTTGATTTTTTCTTTTCTAATACTTGTTTCCATATGAGGCAAACCGTCATAAAATGAGTGACAGTCGTAAGGCATAATACTTTTTAAGCTTTGCAAATCATTCCATTTGTCCAATGTTATTTTTTTTTGAGTTTGGTACAGCTTAGGAAATTTATTGATGTTATCCTCATTAATGTTCTTAGGTCTTCTTGGCAACTCTTTAAAATCATCTTCAAAATTAATTTTATAAAAAATAATACCATTAGGGCAGTATTTAAGTACTCTGAGATCGGTTACAACTGCATCTAAAGCCACTCTCCCTGGACGAATAGATTCATAAAACATAAATTTTTTATCACTGTAGTCTAAGAAAAATGAGTAATTTAATACTTCAGATCTATATGGGAATGGATGTTGTCTGGATTGTAATGTTATTTGAGACAATTGGCAAGGTAGATAACAATCTGTTTTTTTTAATTTGCGTTCTATGACACTGTGAACACTGTCACACTCCATTTGAGTGTGACCTTTTTCCAAAAACTTTTGGGTTATACTCAATTGGTATTTGACACTAAGATGCAGTAATGCATTTGAAAGAATGCTATTTCTATTTTGTGCTGTACACCCATCTGAGTAAACTATTACAGGTTTAAATGAGTTTTTTATAGTTTTTTCAATTGTATCTATTAGACAAGTTGCAAAAGTTGATGCTACAAGTTCACACTGTGTTTCGTCAAACCAATAACAAATAGCTTCGTGGGTTCCTAGATTGTAAATAGTATAGTTATGGACAGCTAATTTCATTTTATAATAAATAGAGCTTGCTTGACAGTATGGAAGAAGCTGAACGGCCATTAGGTCGCATGTAAATACATGACATTCACCAGCTTCAGCATTCATTTTATCATTAGCTTTTTGGTCTCTGGCTTGATTTTTTTTTGCAATATGTTTTTGATAATCTGCTTGTGATAAATTGTTTACTTTGAATTGGCAACATGTATCACACTGGTCCTTTTTTGGGGAAAATATTGATAGATTTTTGCTATAGAAACTTTTATCAAATGATCTCCTGCTTAAGGGTTCTTCACTATCTTCTTTACATACAACATTGTAAATATTGTATAGCTGTGTAATTGAAATAATATCAGTTTGTAAGTATAACTTCCTACTAGATTGTCTACAGTAATGTGAAGGGAGTTTTGGAAACTTATTAAAAAAATTATTCAAGTAATCAGTTTTATGCACTTTTGCTCGTATTGAATTTCCTGTTTTATGTCCATCTCTAAATAAATGTTCACCCTCCAATTGACATTCTATATTATTTTCTTCTTCAGTGTCACACTCTTTTTCTTTTGTAAAATTTTCTGATAAATTGTTTCCAAAGGGTGTTTTGGTTTCTAACCAGTATCTCAAAGTTGACTCTTTAAGGCCTAGAGTACTTAAAAACATACCACGGCATACACATAATTTGTTATTTCCTACTTTTAAATAATAAATAAAGGTTCCATTTCTACGGGATGTCACACTTAATGAAGTTCTCTGTTTAGGAATTATTTTATCTACTAATGACAAAACAAAAATTTGTTTTTCCTTCCACGATGGCATTTTTTTCCAAAAACTATTAAAAATATGTAGACGGTCGTCATCTTTGATAGTTGAACAATTTCTAGTTTTCCACTTTTCACAAATTTTAGATGTACAAGTTGGACCAATTTTTCTTTCACCTCTTAATGTGTCATGTAATATATTATTAGTACTTGTTTTTTCTTTTCGTCTATAGCCCATATATTCCTCACCTCTAACTCGTTTTGATTTGTTTTCGTTCCTACTCCATGACTTGGGATTTGGACTAATATTCCGTTTCCTTCCAATATTTTGCAGATCATATTCACATTCATTTAAATTGTCAATTTCACCTTTATTATCAACATCAATAACATTACAATCATCAACTTCATTACGACCATCAGTGATATTACAGTCTTCAATAATTTGGACAAAATGCTGTGAATCATTTTCCAAGTAATTTAAATTAACAATTTCATTTTGATTACCAACATTAAGAAAATTACAATCATCAATTTCATTAACACCGTCAGTAATATTACAGTCTTCAATAGTTTGGACACAATTTTGTGAATCATTTTTCAAGTAATTTAAATTAACAATTTCATTTTGATCACTAACATTAAGAATATTACAATCATTAAGAGTATGGTTATCATCAATGAACTCAAATGCTTCAATGTCGTTTATATTAATATTATCTAAATTGCAATCTTCCACATTTACTTTTTTTGTGTATCTTCTAATTTCTTTTAGTTTTGACTTACCTTTTACAGCTTCAAACAATTCGTCAATAAATGTTTCATCAGTCTCGCTACTCTCACTACCAGTTTCAAAGTGTGACATGATTTTATAAGGACTATTCCTAGCTGGTTAAAAAAAAATGATTACCTAAAATAATAAGTAACTAAAATTAATATTATGTAAGTGTACTTAAATATAATTAAAATCAAGTAATATAATATTATAAAATATAACAATATTATAAATTATATTATATTATTTTACATATTATTATTTATTACAACATAGCTTATCTCATATAATTTGTTTTGACAACAATACCTATCTCAAAAAATATATTACTATTTTTTCAATTAATGATATCAAATTAAATATTTGTTTGATGGTAATCATATGTTATATATTAATAATATTATACTCCCTAAAATTAATTTAAGGGCTAAAATAATGAAAAGAAGACATAGTTTTTTAATAAACTTACTTTTTCAAACAGCTCGTCACACATAGTGGAATATCACGTGTTAATAAATGAGATATGTTATGTTGATACTTAAGAATGATATAAGTGGTGTTATCATTTTTGTAAATAACAGTGTAACCGCTAATCGCACAGAAAATTCCCCTGATGTTTAAATGTTCGGAATCACTTATTTTATTAATATTGACAATAAACTCATTTTGTCAAATTTTGAGATACGCTTTGTTGCAGTTTAAACGACGATTTGT